CCGTCGGTCTATGGTAGGTCCACGACGGTTGAACATCACCACCAGACGTCGCTGTAACAAGACTGATCGCGGTGCTGATGCTCGATGTATTGTGGTCGATAGTAGTGTTCCAGAATCTATGGGAGGACTCCAGCCTGTTGGGAAGTGCAGTTGTATGAGTTGCAGTCGTATGAGCTGCAGTCGTATGAGTTGCAGTCGAGGTTGGCACGTCCCCTTCCATGGCACAAGTGCATATTTGAGGAATCTCAGTCACCGTGCTTGAGGGCAACTGAACGGTACCGACTGTAGGGGGAGTAGTGTACAGATTGGCAAACGCCCAGATCTCCATGGTGACGTTCAGTGCGTGACTTGGTGTGACGTATACGCAAGGCTGCAAAGGGACTCATGGACCATCCTGTTATATACAGCATTCGTGACCTGACGCCAAAACTGGCTGTCAACCTACTATTGGCTTACTACGAGGGCTTATCTACTTCAAGAGTTAAAGCTGATGAGATTGCTGTCAAATACGGCTGATGTGGCCAGCATTTTGAACATAAATAGTTCCGGTTTCTTGAGGCCGAGAGAATCTTCGGTTTCTCCATCTCGCAACTTCGAAAAATGACAACACCATCTCAGCCAGATCCCCTTCTAGTGCAGGACGAACAAGCACTTATCGATGCTTGTGCCTATGCGAACGTTTTGCTTTCTCCCGCAAGTGTATTCTCGAAGTCTACGTCACCAACATATCCACGGAGGTCTCCCGGACCTACTATACCTCAACTAAGGCTGGAAGAAGCGAACGAACTTGAGAACAGCAATGTCACAGAAAGCCGTCCTTCACCGTTTCGCCCAGAGAGCATGTTTTGCCCTGTCAGCACAACATTGTTGTCAAGCCAGATGATTAGTCTCAGAGACTTGGAAATCAAACCAAGTCCGAGCCGGGCTTCAGGTGTCAAAAGTCGTACAGGGCGGACGAAGCAAATAAATCGTCGCAAAGTAGCTCAGCCTTGATGTCAAAGTTCACGATTTCTCACAATCATCATCAGTCTCTGAGGGCTGAGGTCACCATAACACGGATGGTCTGGGACCTAGAAGGGAGACGGCGACATGCAATTAAGAAATGTGCGCCTTGAAAGAATGAGTGTAGTTTACTAAAGCCCAAAGAGAGGCTATACGGACTTTTGCACATTCTTCAGCATATTCACAGCCACGCTTTCGTCTGCCATTGACATGAAATACGAGATACCGAGGATGTTGCAATGCGGCTCCGGGCCGCTTGATACACAACGAAGAACTCTTTTTGTGATGTAAGCTAAGTAACCACATGCAGACCTTCAATT